GGACTTCCCCAGTGTGGACATGGCAATGCAAGAATGGGAGCCACTGTGGTGTAATGGCTGGAGTCTTGGAATAGGACTGGGGTGATCAAGGTTCTAATCCTCACTCAACCATAAAGCTTAACTGGGTGACTTTGGGCTAATCACTCACTCTCAGCCTACCTACCTTACAGTTCTTGAGAAGACAGAAAGAGAAGTTCATGGGCTCCTTGCAGGAAAAGGTGAAATATAAATATAACACATCAATCAATTGGTCAATCACTCAATATTTGCTGCTTATCAGTTTTCCCTTTCATTGTGCAGAAATAGGATGTTTGACTAAATGTTAGATATGGGTGATAATTTTGTTTGGTTTTGCTTTTTGCAATTTTTCCATAAATGAAAAAAACTAGAGATTTCTTTTTAAAGGTGTGTGTGAGGGAGCTTGAGGAGAAAAAGGAAGAATCTCTCTACCGTACCAGACTGGCAATTGGTTCCTTGCAGCGACTCTTATCACACATTCACAATTAAAGAAAGCTCCTGAAGAAGACATGCTTCCTCCAGAGCTGTATAAAGAATATGTGGAATGCTGGGTGCCAATTCTAGCTGATTTCTTCACCAAAACAAGTATCACTGGATTAATGCCCCCCCCCCCCCGGAATAGAAATTGAATGTTATCTTCCCAATTTATAAGAAAGGTGTCATGAATGATTCACAATACTACCAGCCAATCAGTTTGTCAGATATTTCTTCAAGGATATATGCACGGTATCTACTTCAAAAATTATTAGATTGGCTATATACAAATCAAATTATACATGATGAACAAGCCATTTAGAAAAGGTTACAGCACAATAGATCAATGCTCTATACTAAATTACTTACTAAGGAACTATTGTAAGAACATTAAGAAATATCTTTTTGCAGCTTTTATTGATCTTTCAGCCTTTTTGATTCTATTAACAGAAATAGAAATTGTGGGGGAAGTTACAAAGCTTTAAGATTGGCTGCAGACTCCTGATACTGATAAAAGAATTATATGCTAAGAAAGAAATGGGTTGGGTTGGTAGGCTCTTGAATGAAGCTTTCAAAACAACCTGGGGAATAAAATAAGGATGCCTTCCTTTTCAATATCAGTGTTACTTTATCTGGCATCACATTGAACACAAGTATTTTCTTCTTTCCCAGTAATCATGAATGGAAAGATTTGTATCCTGATGTATACAGATGATATTGCACTAATCTCTTTCCTGCCTAGATTTGACGAACCTTCTATGTGTATTCAGTATTCACTGCAAACATGCAGACTTGTCAATAAACCATTCTAGGACTAAGGTTATGGCTTTTAGAAGTCATAGACCTAAGTACAGATGGTTTCTCAAACAACATGCTATTAAACAAACTTGCTCATTGGGAGACTTAGGCATCCTTTTTAATGCATTTCTCTCATGGAAAGAGTGCAGGGAATCAGTGAACTTGAAGACACAGAAAACTATAGGGGTATTAATGAAGCTTTAAGTGCAGAGAGCTGGTAGAACCTACCCTTCACGTTTCTAATAGCAAAATGATAATGCAATTGCTTTATGGGGCTTAAATGTGACAGTGCTACCATGAATGCTTTGGAAACTGTGCAGAACAATTAGTTTCAAAAACTTCATCCCTTTCTACCCACAATCCCTGTACCTCTGTGTATGTGTATGTGTGTGTGCACGCATACACATACCTGTGTAGAAAATCTGGATAGTCATCAGTTAGGACAAGAACGAGCTGCACATTGTTCACTTTATCTTAATTTGCCCTCTATAAACCCCAGGAATGATACTCGAAACCCTGGTTGACATAGGGATATAGGAATGACCTGGCAGAATGCATTCATTTTTTGTTGCTTTAGCAGCAGAAAAGAGTAAGAAGAGAGAATGAAACAGAATTAGTATAAACTGTTTTGGAATCCAGAATGTTAAATTAATTGACTACCATAAATTTTAATTCATTTATATTATTTTGCAATCTCATATATCCTGGTACATACAAGTGTGTGTGTGTGTGTGTGTGTGTGTGTGTGTGTGGGAGGGAGGGTGTATTTATGGTCTTTAGCTAACACAATAAGCTCATATAATCACTTAAAAAACCGAAGGAGCCAAAATGGAGCTTTTTATCTAACCAGGTCTAGAACCAGGTTGGCTTTATTCTTGCTTATATTGTTGTTTATCCTCCTGTTTTTGCTCTTTGTATTACTATGATTTTATGTGGTTTTTAGCTGGTCTTGTTCTATTTATTATTTTTATGTTATGTTTTTGTGCTAGGTATGCTATGTAAGCCACCCAGAGAGTCCCTGGGCTGTGGGGCAGCATAACAATGCAATAAATGAATAAATAGAATTGTGACTATTTAGTTCTTTTAAAAAAGATTATGCTATATGGCTCTACTGTAAATGAGGAGTGGGCATGTTAAATGTGGTGTTAGGGTCAGAGTGCTGGAGAACTAGATACAAACCTCCCATGCAACCATCTATTTCATTGAATGATCTTAGGCCTGTTGCATCTATCATCTTAATTTACCTCACAGGTTTGTTCTGAGGATATAACCAGTGGATGTGGGGTACTGTGTGCAGAACCCTGAACTCTTCGGAGAGAAAGTAGGCTATCAATATATAATTCTGAGCTGAAAGCGTCATGAACGTAATAGGGCACACAGCCTTCCCCACTCTCGGCATCTGATAACACTGATTTGTATCTGCACAAACTCTCATTTCCTTGTTATAGTTTTAGATAACATGAAAGCCTGAAATTAAGAATGGAATGAAATCTGTGCTACTTATTCCTCTCCTGAGCATCTCAGACTGATGGTCTTTTTTTGGAAGGGAGGTTTATATCACCTTTGAGCTATTTATTTTATGACACAATCATTCTTCATGTGGAACAGAAAGGGGAAGACAGAATTTTTAAGGTAAATGTGAATTCCAGCTGAAGTTGGCTTCATATCAAGGGTGGCTATTAGCCTAAATTCACATGTCCCCTGCAAGCACGCAGTACAACCCTCTGGCAAAACTGATCTGCCTCTTTGTCAGCAACCCACTAGGACTGGAGATGAGGGAGGGGGAGAGTGAAAGAAGGAAGTGGCCCTGCCCACCTACAACTGGCATGAAGACATAAGGGTAACAGATTACCTCCCAGATTAGATAGTCACTGTTTTTGATTGCTTCAATAACATTTACATCTCACACTAGTTCCTGGATAACAGTGCTAAGGATTAAATCCATGGATGCCTTCCATACGTTCAGTTTCATGACCAATTGTTCCAGGACACAGTTGTTTAGGGCACTGAGAAACAGAGCCTGTTTATTACAATTGGAACGTGCATTTACGCAGTTTGTGTGTGGCAACTGAAGTCCCTGATTTTCTTTTCCATCCTAACATCACCCCAAGCGCCCTGGCCTGGCGAACAAGAGTATGTCCTCATTATGAAGCAGTCTTTCCCATCTCTCATTTCTCCTTCCAAGCAGCTCATGACAAGAGGCTTCTAATGATAGTCTTCATTATGTTAAAGCAGGCCAACAAGGCTGGCTTTGTGATACAAAAGATGGACTGCGGAAGACATCCAATAATTTAGGAAGCCAACTAATTAGAAAGATTACTGCTCATGACAAGTTGATTCCAGAAACCGAATCCACCTCATTCTGTCCTAACCAAATGGAGTTAGCTCCACCGCAAGGCTGTGCCCTTTTGGGGCAGAAAGTGGGAAAGCTGTTGTAAGCCGCCTCGAGGCTTCGGCGAATGGGGCGGCATAAAAATGTTTAAATAAATAAATAAATAAATAAATAAATAAATAAATAAATAAATAAATAAATGCTGGATGCTACCCAATTGGCCTGCTGTCTTGAGCAGGTGTGATGGGACTGACACATGCCTCCTGCTCTAGTCCTGCCTCTTTTACAGTGTCTTTCCCAGAACCAGAGGTAGTCTCATGCTCACCAGAAGCTCTTCTTATCATGGGTCTTGCTGGTCTTGAAATTGCAGCTAAGAATTCCAATTTTTCCTCTTCTTCAAATTCAGAATCTGAGGAAACCACCTTGGAATGCTGTATTTGTGAGACGTGGCCCACTTCCTACAGTTCCTAGTACTAAATTAGGTTTGAAGCCCAGTATTATCATTCACAGGGCTTCTGAAACAGTCTCCCTCTTTTAGCTTTTCTGCTCTGCTTGGCACTACAGTCCTAGTGACAGTATTAAAAAAATCACTATACCGCAGCCACGGAGAACCTAAGACAGCAAAGAAGGATATCTTTAGTGCCATTTAGAAACAAATATCTACTGTTTTACTCTCTTTAAGCCTTAGGTTCTCCATGGCTTCCATGTAATGAACTTATTAATACTTTTAGCTGTCCTGCAGCATCAAGCAGACTTAGATTATACCCACAAGAAGTATGTAGAACCGTATTTTCTGTACCCATGAGAAAGCCACCATTTGGGGAGTGGATCATAACACTAACAGGCACACCATTCTCCCTCAAAACCTCTATCAGGCAATTCTCTATCTAGTTCCTCATCCTCACCTAAATAGGTACATTTAACAGAAAGTGTAGCTTGAACTTCAGTGGCAACATGGTCAATGGTTTCTCTATACCATGCAGAGAACTTTGGCTGTGGGATAGTACAGAAAGTAATCAAACAAATAACAGTATCCATCTTCAGAAAGGATTGCTTTGCAAAGAGTGCTACTGCTAGATTAAAATATGCATTCAACCCATGTTGCCAGTACTGCAATTTAACATCATTCCTCCTCGGAGTTCTTTGATCCTATGTTCTTTGGAATCTAAATCCATGAGAAAGTGAATATGCTGTTTTGGAGTACTTCCACTTGTTTTGGATGAAGTGGCTTTATCTCCTCTGTCTTCAGGAGTACTGGAGGAAACACTGATCTTCATTACCAATTATTTACTTGCAATGTAACGGACAGGTAGCATATAGTTGTCATCTCACGCAAAGCAAGAAGGAGACGCAAAGAATGTACAGAATGAACATTGACCTGATTTCTCAGAGATGCTGGCTGGGACTGGCGTAGCAGAGCCGTTCGTATTAGCCTTTGTACTGTCCTTGGAAGCACCAGCTTTTGGTCTATTTTTCGTTGCTTCTAGTGCTTTGACCTTCTTGGCATGTTTACTTCCTTTGTAGTGGGCCTCGGCCTGGCTCTACAAAGGAGAACAAATCAAGCTCATAATTCATGCTTCATATCACTTAATGGATGATCATCTTGAAATAAAAGGTTATACAGCTTTCAGTAACAGACTCCACATTCCTTTGCCTAACAAGATTATGTAGCAGTTTATTATTGATCTTTCTTTTATACATTCAGAAGATAAATACTGGATTTAGAGATTTTAATGTATATATATTTATCGGCTTATAACAACAGAACCAGCTTCTTTCCTAATTTCTTAGCAGGATTCTATTGAAAATTTAAGCTGTATATTCATTTGACCATTAAGACTAAATCCTATGCAGAACTCAGAGTCCCAAAGATAATTGAAATCAATATGCTTCAGTGAATGTAACCCTACTTAAAATGGCAGCCCATTAATTTCCAAATATTTATTGGGCATGATTAGTAATTTGTTCAATATCTCTATGAATGCACAAAATAATTAACATTACAGAACAAACCTCTAGAAGGTGTTTTCCTATAGATTTTGGAACCAATGAAATTCACATTAAAAAGACATGGTTCCTTCTTAGCTCTAAATAAAATGCTCACTTCATGCTTAGAACTTTTGAGGCTGAGAAATTAGAATGCTTCTGAGGCTATACTCCTATCCCAATTCCTTGGAGTAAGTCCTGTTGAGCTTAATGGGAGTAAATGAAATCCTACACATACCTACCTAAGGCAAGTTCTATTGATTTCAGTGGGGTTTACTTCCAAATATTTGTGTATACTTTAAATCAGACAAACTTAGGTATTGTAGGCTGTAATTTTCAGGCTGCACTTACCCAGCAGTAAGCTCCATTGAATGCAAGAGAATTTACTTTTGAGTAAATGAAATTAGGATGTGAATTAAATATTCAGAATCCTATGAATGTCCACTAAGACATGCTTTATCACCTAAACCTGCAATCCTGTACCCACTACCTGGGAGTACATCCCACTGAAGTCAATGGGACTTACTTCTGAGCTGCTTTATATAGGATCTGCCAAAATTAGGCAAATCAGGCTATAACCTTATGCACATGTACCTTGGAGCAAATCTCACTGAATTCAATTGCACTCAATTGAACTCAAGTCAGATTAGACATAGAGAAGACTCTGCTGTATCTTAAATATATGAGTTATCTACTTCTCAGATACTTTTGGAAAGCTAGACTATATTTTTGGAAAGTGTGATGGTTCTTGCAAATTTCTTAGGCTTCTCCCACCCTGTATTAGTTCATAAATTCACCTCTATACATTTCACTTTCCATTCATGAATATTGGCAGGAGTACAGAAGACCTGATACATCTTTAATCACCCAGAATTGCATGACAAGATGGGTGGAGAAGCCAGTTATCTTAGTGTTCAATATTTAACATTAAATATATTGGATACTTGTTCCTGAAACATGTTTTGACTGAGAGAAAATTATTTTTAAGTTGGAACTTTGTCTTTACTGAAGTTGTGTATATTAGGTATTTAAGAGAATATCAGAACTGTCAAATGGGATACCCCATTACTAAGCATATTAGCTGAGAATAAATTCCATTATTTCAACAGAAGTTACTCCCATCTAACAAATATAGTTGGGGACCCATGAAAAACCACACTTCTCATAAAGGTTGCACAAGGATGACCCCAACTTGGTGCCACACATATAGAACTTCAACACAAGAGATAACTCTTGCATTAGGCATTTTACTGTTGAGAATCGTATGGTTGACATGGATTGAGAACACTGCCTTTTGCTCATTTCTTTAAAGTAAAAGCAAGCTATAAAATTAAGTACGCAAACTCTTCTCAATGCCTCTGCTAGGTTTCAAACCCTCAGAGTGTTGTTAAAACTTTGTTGCTATAGAAAGGACTACTCAATTAGTTCCAACCTAACTAGGTGCCATGGAACAGCCACCTTGGGACATCATGTGAAAACAAAAGTCTTCTCAGTGCGATGTAAGTGAAAGGTAAGAACAGGTGGAACGGGAAGAAAAGCACACACGTGCATCTGTGTTCAGCAAGAGTCTTCAGGGCACATACCTGCACCACTGAAATAACTGCAAGTAGAAGGCTAGCAAGGATCAGCGGTTAGGCTAAGAAACATATAATGCAAAACACAAGTTTGTCTTTCTCTGAAAGGAAGCAGTCATGCTATATTTCTATAGGCCCATATTTTTTCTTTCTGTACAGAACTGTGCAGAAACTAAAAATAAAAGGTTAGCATTTGGGAAGGGAGGAATGACTGGAAAATTAGCCTTCTGCTGTTAAAATATTGGCTACAATATTGATTGAAGGAACAGTACACCATTCTCTAAAACCTTTTCAATCTTATCAGTTGCTAACAAACGGTGAGAAAAATTGGTTAAGCGACTGGCAGCCCAATCCTAAACATGCCAACTTGAAAGCAAATCCCACTTAATTCCATAGGATTCCCTTTCTAGTATGTAAAGTTTAGGACCATAAGGTTATTTTGATAATCACTACTTTTACATGTACAGTACTTAAAGGGAGACTAGTCCATTGAAAGATAACCCAATCCTTTTCATAAGATTTAGCTTTAGAATCAATCCTCCTATATACTTCCTTAAATTTTAAGAAATATTATATGGTGGGTTTTTATATTTTAAAATGCTGATACAGATGTTTTATTTGGATTCCCCTCCCTCCCATGACAATGTAATTTTTGGTTTCTTTTGCCATGGAGCTTTTAACAACCACAGAAACAAACTGGACGTGATTATTATTGGTAGTTTGGTATTGTGTAGCTTTTTGGTGTTCAACAAATGCCTGGTGAAACAGTAACAAGCAGGTGCCTTTTGTTTGGTGGTTCTGACTGGGACTGTCACAGGGGCCAGAGATAAAAGTCCCTGCAATCTGGTCCCCCCTCTCCAAAAAAACCCTCCACACTTATTTTATTTATTTTATACTTTCATTTATATGCCACCTACTCACATAGTCTCAAGGTGGCTTACAATATTACAAGCATGCCAACTGTTACAGCTAGGTGGAAATTTGCCCCTCAGCCCTAGCTATCTTCTAAATTTCTGTGACCTTATTTCTGAAGAAGTATCGCTATCTATTGCAAGCTTCTTTTTAGTTACCCAACTGCTCCTGAAGAATGGAGATAGGTACCCTGTGAACAGCATATATGAAGAGGCTGTGTCAACAGATGAATAAACAGTGGAGGGTGGGCTGGAAGGGGCATGGGACACATGCGATGGAGCTGTTCTGAGGTGACTTCTGCTCCACAGTTCCACCTGGGATGAGGGCAAGAAAAAGCCTCACGGTGCCCCCTACCCATTTTCTCTCTCCATCTTCCCCCAAAGGGCGAGGGATAGCGCATAGAAAATAGATGTGGGTTCTCCTGGTTCACAATGAAAGTAAGACATCATACATGACTGGCCGAAAGTCACCCACTGAGCTTCTCAGCTATATGGGGACTAGAGTTCAGATCTCCCAAGTCTCAATCCAGCAATCATCATGCTGGCATATTATTTATTGATGCGTATTTGCTTTTAATCCTACCTCTCCTGTACAAGGTGGCATTTTTAATCAATGCATATTTTGTATTAATATACACACTGCTTCTGTATTTTTTTTATGGTAAGCAGCATATACATTTGAAAAATCAGTCAATCAAACAATTAATCCCATTGTTCCATGACTCATTTCCCATGGCTAAAATCGCATCCAAAGAATTTTAGGAACACAAAATAATTGTCATGGTTATTTTTTAAAAATAAAACATTCACGTGGACATTGAACTTTCAAATAGACAGTATCCCTTTAAATGTTTTAACTGTAGCTATTTTCACGGCATAACTTGCACTGCTGAAAAGGTCCAAGGCATAATAATAATAGTAATAATAATAGCAGCAAAACTACAACATGATAGACAGAGGAGCACCCAAGAGAAAGGCTTACTTAATTTGGACACCGCCTAATAAGCCTTTCTGCTGATATTGACAAAGGGAATGCCTGCAATATCAGTGGTAACCTACTACTGGCTTTGATTCACTTCATTCATTCCTCATTTATTGTACATGAAACCTGTTGAAAACAAACAAGTCCAAACAAATGTAAAACTAGTTATAAACTCATTTATTAATATAGTAAAGCATGTAATTAATTCTTCTGGAAACCCGACTAAGATACTTCAATTCTTACTTTAAAAAGCATATTAAAATGTATTAACACATATCTTATATATGAAAAGCATTCTGATTCAAATTTATATTAATTCAGTAAAAGGCTTACAGGAGATCACATTAGTGGGAATTTTATGCAACAAAGATTTAATTTATATTTTTAAGGTTATCCAAAATCATATTGCTTTCAAATCAAATGGGTGTATATAGAACTAAACCAGACTGACAGAGATTCATTTTTACCAGAAAGTATATGACACAAAGCATAGTCTCTTACCCTGGACCCTAATCACAGCCAGTATTCCAAAGCAGTCTGAGCAACTGCAGTCCTGTCTGTTCCAGCTGTTACACTGGGACACAGCAGAACTTCTGGGAAGCAGAACTATGCTATGGGTGTATATGGGTATTACATTAAACCCTCCAGCCTTTGTTGGTTTTGTATACATCAAGTCTTAGTATTCTTTCTAAAAATCAGTTACACAAGACTATACCACCACATAGCCTTTCTACAGGTTTTTGACAGCAACCGAGGAAGGACCGAGAACATGGGACCTAAATGGGGAGTAAGCAATACATTCAATGTTTCAACATTTAGGTTAAGCCATCTTGAACCAGCATGTCAATTGGCGATACCAATGCAAACAAAGAACTTCCCAGAGGCAGCAGCTAATAGCTATCCAGAACACTGTTCTGCATTATTCAATCCTCGATACTAAAGTGAAAAGCTCTGTATTTGTATGGCAACACAGCTCAGATGAACAGGGGAGATGGAATAAAGAATACTGGGCTGATTTTAAAAAAGTGAGTGAAAATCTAAATAACTTCATTTGGTGTATGTTTTTGACCAGTATTCAAGTACTTATT